CATGAGATAAAGGGGGCACAGAGACAAAGCGCGAGAGGGGCCTCCAGACTCCTCCCCTGGTGCTCTCTCCACTGCAGCGTGAAGGGGGCCCAGCGGCCCGCATGCCCTGCTCCGCGTCCCCCAGGGGCTGATGGAAACACTGTGCCAGCCCCAGGTCAGGCCTCTCGCCTGCACCCAGGGCTTCCGGTCGAGGCTCTCCAGCCCAGCAGAAGGGCCCCTCCTGAGGGCCAGTAGCGACGGGGTGAGGAACTCGTCCTTGGGGAGGGACCCAAGACGCCCCGAGGGCTGGTTTCTGTCATAGCAGACGGGGACAAACAACAGGTGTGCAAGGGCGCCTGCCGGGGCCACACGCCGGCCCCCGCCTCACTCCAGTGAGCTGCCAAACAGGAAGCTACGGTGTGGGGGCAGGCAGGGCCACCCCAGACAGCCTGAAAGTAAAAACAGGCCACGGCACGTGACACCACCGGGGGAGAGGGCACCGGCTTCCGCCCACCCCACAGCCTCTGCTCTGACCTCACTTCCTGCCGTGCACCCACGGTGCTGACCCCCTGACGGCACTGACTCCCCATGATGCTGACCTCCCCACCCTGCTGACCGCCCCCACAGCACTGATCTCCCCATAGCACTGACCCCTTGACAGTGCTGACCCCCCACGGCGCTGACCCCCCATGGTGCTGACCCCTCACTGACCTCCCTAAAGCTCCGACTGCCCCCATGATGCCAACTCCCCCCAGGGCACTGCAAATCCCCGGGCTTGATTTTTATTACTTCATGTCATGAAATAATGATAAAAATTTCAGAAAGTTACAGCAACAGTAGAGAGGTCGTGTGCACCCTCCCGCAGCGCCCAGCACATCACCACAACCAGGAGCCTGACGCGCGGCACGTGGCGACCAACGAGGCACCAGGCCTTGTCAGATGTCCCCGTTCCTCATGCGGGCTAACTTGGGGACGCCCTGGCGCGTCCGTCTCCAAGACTCTCACGCACAGATCATCTCCCCAGTGTTACGACCACAAGGCGCACCGCTCGGCCTCGGCCAGGGCGCCATCACCACGGCGCCCCACGGTGCAGACCGCTCCTAATGGTGGGCTCCCCTGCTGGAAAGTGCCCTGAGGTGGGAGCCGACCGTGTCTTCCTTATTCCGAGTACCTTGGGCACAGGGCTGGCACAGAGCAGGCGCTCAATAAATGCTCTATAGGTCCTGCCTGGCCTCGTGTGCTCCGCCCTTGCAGAACATGGACATCTTCCTGCCACTCCCTGTCCCCTCCCGCCCTGGTGACCCAGGGGCTCGGCTCAGACCCTCCGTGAGCACACGACCATGGCCTGGTGATGGCGAGGGTGGCAGGTCTCAACCTGGGCACCGAGGACCTTCCCACGGAGGGGACAGGGGTCCCGGAAGCTACAGGTCAAGCGGGGTGCACACATGCCCGGGAGGTGGTCCCATGGCCTTGTTAGTCCCGAGGGCTGGCTCTGATTTGCCCAGGAGCTGACCAGAGGGAGGGGCTGGGCCTCGTGAAGGAACCAGGGCGCTGGAGCCCCAGCTCAGGCCTCTGCCCCACGCCGTGTGTGCTCAGGCAAGCTTCTCCTCCCCCGGGGCCACACAGGCAGCCACGCAACAGACCCCATCACGGGACTGCACAGACGCGTCACCGACAAATCCCGGGCCTTCCCGTGAGCCCGCCCCGACTGATGGGCTCCACATATGGCCACTCCCTCAGTGCGCATCAGCCCTGCGAGGGGCACCATCCCCGACACGGACCAGGGATGAGCCCAGAGAGGAGGGTCTGGGCCTGGCCTTGAGCCCAGCACGGAGGGTGGGGACCACCTGGCAGCCCTGAGGACCCTGTCCTGTGGTCTGGGCCCACAGGGCCTGACCCCACGCCTGGCACGGAGCGGGCTCACAGCGAACAGGCATGGAGCCCAGACCAAGGCCCCCTTAAGAACATGGGAGGGCTATGCCCAGAGGAGCAGCTGGCCCTTCAAAAATAACCCAAGAAGTGGCTCCAAGTGCAGCCAGCCCCGGGACAAACCTTGGATCCTGGCAGGCCTCCGGCTCAGGCGAGGACAGACGCCCCCTGACGCCACGAGGCCCCTTCCAGGAGGCTCTGCCTGGACACGGGCCCTCTCCCCACGGCCGTGACCTTGCCTGCAGCCCACAGCGGCTGCCCGGCCCCCAGCTGGCAGAGAGCCGCTCAGCTGGGCGGCCTAGGCTGCAGCTGTCTCCTACCGCAATGGAGCCGCTTGTCCCCTGGCCTCCCCAAACCCCAGGCCTCGGCCCACACACAGTTACATGACAGAAACACACAGGCCGAGGCAGGTCCTACAAGACCCCGTCCAACTTAAAACAAGGACAACTGAGGGAAGAGGATCCAAGCAAGAGGCATAAGTGTGACAGTCCCCTACAAATCTTCCCACGCTGACGTCCACTACCCGGCGGGCGAGGGCTGCGTGGGGCCGCAACCAAAAGTGGAGTTGCCTAGGCGTACGAGGGCAGCGGCTCCAGGAGAGGGGCCGGGCAGGAGGGGGGCTAACGGGCTCCCAGACCCGGGCTGCCTGCCGCCACCGGCCTGACGTTCCGGGCGCTGAGTCAGGCCCGTGCCCTGGCTGATTGTTTGCAGAGACAAAAGGGACGCTGACGGCCCAGCTCTGTGGCCAGCAGCCTGGCCCAGGCCCCTCCGGGCAGGACCCCCAGGAGCCCCTCCCGTGCCTGGGCCCAGGCAGGCCTGTGGGGAGGGGGCGACTGGGAGCAGCCTCGGTGCCCTGGCCACGGAGACTTGAGCTGGCCGGCCCTCCTGACCCCACGGCCATCTGGGTCTCCGCCCCTTGGCAACCAGCAGCCAGAGTGAGGCTCGTCCCAGGGATTAAACGCCAGCCGGCGGACTTAGTTACACAACATTGTCGCCTGAAGTCGGGAGCACACAGCTGTAAAATGTGTGACCGACTCTGACGACCTGCACATGGTGGCACTCTGGGGACCAGCAGGGGAAAGGCCGGGGCGCCCCTCCTGCCCACCCGCCCCAGGGAGCAGTGGCCGAGAGCCTGGGCTCTGGGGCCAGCCCATCCGGGTTCCAATCCCATCACCTCGGCCACCCTGGACAGGGTGTTAATCTCTCTTTAACCTTTCTTTGCCTCAGTTTCCCCATCTGTGAAGCAAGGACAGTATCAGTCCTGACCCCTGAGGGCTGCCGGGAGGACAGAGAGAATGTGGAGAGCACAGAGTACCCAGCCCTGCACAGACCCTCGGTTAGGAAGTTATCAGTCCTATTTTCCAGGGGACGAAACCAGAGGCTCAGGAAGAGGATGTCACTTGCCAAACGGACCCAGCTGGTAAGCAGCAGAATCAGAACTCACACCCAGGCCCACAGGCTCCAGTGGCCAAGCACGGACAGTGACGCTGGCGTCCCAGAGGCAGCACCGCAGGTCAAACCGGGCCCAGCGGTGGGCAGGGAAGGTGCTGCCGCATTTTACACCTGAAAGAGCCGCTGGCACTGGAGGCGGATGGCCCAACCTCTGTGCAGCTGGCCTCTGCCCCTGGCAGCTGGTGTAGACCCGAGGAACAGCGCCAGGGCTACGAAAAACAAGGCTCACTCTCCTGGGGCGGCCTGAGTCCCAAAGAGGAAGAGCCTGGGGTGACGATTGGAGACCGGGGTATCCCCAAACACCTTCCAAGACAGCTCCAGACATCTCTGAAGCAGGTCCCAGGGCGAGAGGGAAACCCAGAACCACCTGCTCCCCGCGCCCTGGGGGCTCCCTCCCAGGTGGACAGACTGGGAGCTGAGCTCGCACATATCCACCAAGCCATGCGGAAGCCACTGTGCCGCCACAGACGCTGCCTGTCGGGCCAGCACCCGGGATGGCGGGCACACTGCAGCTCCTCGGTCACCTGGCCGACCAGCCCAGTCCACCCGAGCCCGGCTACCCACCCTGCTCCTGCCCCTGGTCCACGTGCCCCAGAAAGCGAGCTGCTCCTTAAACTGCGCCTCTCGAGGGCAGGTGCACACACACACACACACACACCTGCCACACAAAATCGAGGCCTGGGACTTGGTCTCTGCTAGCTTCAGAAGTGCTAACATTCTACAAGAGGGGCCTGTTCCCTAACTGCCTCTCCACCCCCAGAACGACCTCTACCCCCATCAACCGCTCCTGCACTGGGGCACACAGCCGACGTCAGCCACGGGGCTGGGAAGCCGAGCACACGCAGGCTCCCTGGGCCCCTGAAGCGTGTGTCTGTCCTGCCCAAGCAGCTGCCAGGCCTTATTAGATGTTAAAAAAATAAGAGGCGGGAGAGGAGGCCTTTTTCGGATGGGGAGAGTGGGACACGCTGCCCCAGAGCACGTCAGACAAAAGGCTGCAGGCCCCGCCCACTGGGGCCCGGGACATCTGGGCCTGATCCTGCCTCACCTGCCGCCCCTTTCACAGACATGGAACCCCGGTCAGCAGTGACCTGCTGCCGCCATCTGTCGGGCACCGGAGCAGGCCAGGGGGGGCGTCCCAAGAAGAGCCTAGGCCAGCTCTAAGAAGGTCACAATCACTTCCAGAGTGCCCATCCTAAGACCTCCACTCCTAGAACTCCAGGAGCAGCAACCATCCCCATTTCACAGGGGAGGAACTGAGGCACAGTAAGCTGCTGGGGGTCACACAACTAGGAAGGGGAAGCTGGGATACGAACCCAGGCAGCAGGCCCCAGAGCCCAGGTTCCCCGTCTCTGCAGTGTGGCCTCTGCCAGGGGGAAAATGGGATCCTCCTTCCCCAGTCCTCTCAGCTCGCCCCCTCGCCACCCCTACAAGGCAATCACGTTTCTGGAAGCTTGGAGATCGTGCCGGTTCTCAGACACGGAAAGGTGGCTGCAGACAGCACAGCGAGGCTGCTGGGTTGGTTGGCGGTCCTGCAGTGAAGGACGCCCTCGCACCCATGGGTGCCCACAGTGGGAGACCCAGGAAGGTCACAGCCCACTCGGCCTGGTCTGCCCCCACCCCCACCAGCCACATCCACTCACCCGTACGTGCGCTGGACCAAGGTGGGGTGCAGCTGCTGGACGCCGATGGCAAAGCCTAAAACGAGAGACAGCGGGGGGCTCGGCCTCACTCAGGGAAGCGAAACCACCCATCCCCACACCTTGAATCAAAGAGAAGCAGCTTCCCCTCCCCTCCCAGACCACCCCCACGTGAACCCCAAGCTCAGCCGAAGCAGGCCTGGGGCCCCGGGTGTTCGTCCTCCGGGGGCCAACTTCCTCTCTCGAGGACAGCTGACAACTGCTCGAGGCACCCCCCCACACCCTGTCCCACCAGCGCACGCGGCTGGAAGAAGGGGTCCAGCCCTGAGCTGGGGAATGACTGCCCTGTGACGGCTCTGCGAGCACATGATAGCCGACTGCCACTCCTGGGCCAGGGCGCGGGGGGAGCTTTTTCCACCCCACAGACACCGAGATACCGACGCTGAATATAGCAACCGAGAAGAGCCAGGAAGGGAAACACAGACTCACCCGGCTGGAGGCTCCGCGGCTTGGCACCCAGATAGGCCAGGTTCACGTTGGCCTTGCGGCCGTCGATGTTGGGGTTGGGGTCTTTGCAAGCCCTCTCAGCTGCCGCCCGGTCGGCCATAGTCACCTGGAGGAACAAGGAGGCATCAGGGGCTTCCCTTGCGGGTAGGGGGAGCAGAGGGCGCTGCCCTGGGACAGGGTGCTCACTTCCCTCCACCGGGGGTGCCAGCTACCCAGGGCGCTGGGCCAAGGCCCCTCTGACCGGGCCTGGGGCCCTCCCACAAAGCTGCCGCCGGGGTTCCAGCTCCTCCCTCCAAGTTGAAGCGCTGGGAAACCTTGCCTTCAAGGACAGACACAGTCCCCAGGGGAGAGGGGCACCCCAAAAGGGAGGCAGGGGCCCGAGCCGGGCCTGCCCGCCAGCGGGGCGTGCATTTCCTCATGGGAGGGGTTTGGGGACACCGTAGTTAGAAGGGAAGTAGGAGGCTGTCTTCGAGCCGCTTTTTACTTAAGTTGACGTTTATCTGGGGCGCGCGAGGGGGCTGCTGGAATATACGGGGCGGCTTGCTGAAGGGCTCCGAAGCGGCCTAGGGTGAAGCCTCCGCTCCTCGCCCTCTTGCTGCTCCAGGAAGTCCCGAGAGTAGTCACCTGTCCCCAAAGCCTCTCCACAAACTTAGGAGTCCTCCTTGAGCATAGCGGCTCCGCTTTTTAACCCGGCGCGGGGTGGGGGCAGGGAGGCAGGCCAGGGGAGGCGCGGGCGGCACCGGCTGGAGCTCGAGCCGCCGCCCCGGAGCCGGAGCCCAAGAGGGGGCAGCAGGTGCCGGCGCGGCGGAGGCGCCCCGGGCGCTGGGCGTGCGCCCGCCGTTGACTCAGCGCCCCGGGCCGCGATAAGCGCGGGGCGGGTGCGCGCCCGGCCGCGGGGCCACTTACGAAGCCGTAGCCGCGGGACTTGCCCGTCTGGCGGTCGGTGATGACCACGGCCTCCTCGATGTCCCCGAAGCCCTCGAAGTACTTCCTGAGCGAGGCGTCGGTGGTGTGGTAGGGCAGGCCGCCCACGAAGATCTTGGTGAATGTGGTGTCCTTCTGCGAGCCGTGCATGGCGCCGGGGGCGGCCGGGGGCCGCGGGAAGCCCGCGCTCGGGGCGCACGGCGCGGGCTGCAGCAGCATGGGGGGCGCCCCGCCGCCTAGGGACCCGGGCCGCGCGGGGCTGCGCTCATGGGGGGCGGCGGGGAGCGAGCGGGCAGCAGGGGCGCCGGGCCAGCCGCCGGGCCCGTCCACTCGCGGGCCGCTCCCGCCGTGCGCACCGCGCGCTGCGCTGCGCTGCGCTCCGGCCGGCGCTGCGGGCACTCTGCGCCCCGGCGCCCGCCCCCCGGCTTTGTAGCCGGCCCCGCCCCCGGCCCGCCCCGGCCCCGCCCCCGGCCCGCTCGGCCCGCCCCGCCCCGCGCGCGGGGGCCGCCGGGAAGCGTAGTCCGGCCCGCGCGCCCCGGGGAGCCCGGGGGCTGGGTGCGAGCGCGGGTAGGGGCGCGTCCGGGCCGGTGGTAGCCGCTGCGCGAACGTTCTTTGCCGAGCAGCGATTCCGTGCCCAGCCGGTCCCCGGCGCCTGCCCTCGTGGAGCGCACAGTCTAGCGAATCAGGTGTAAACGATTCTTAACGTCGTAGTCATTGAGTCAACATTTGTCCGGGTGCTAGCTGGGGTGCAGCAACACGTCACCCTAAGAGGTGAAATGATTTGGGTTTTATATATAAATATAATTCTTTCGACGAATATTTATAGGGCCTCTTACGCGCCAGGCCCTCCAGGGTGGGGGCTGCAGCGATGCGGAGAACACTCCCCAGCCCCCAGAGCTTCAGAGACAATTCAACACACAGTTAAATGCACATTATACAATCAGGAAGGAAAGGAATCGGGTGCTGCCGTCCAGGAGGGCCCACGAACGGCCCAAGGCCCTTCTGAGGGGGGTGACTGGGCAAGGGGACTAGTTTTGGCCTTTTCAAAAGTCCATCCCTGTCAACGGCTGGTGTCAGGGTTCCCTCCATCTGCGTGGGCGACCCTTGGGGAAAAGCAAGCAGAGGGAGTCCGGTTCCCTCTGTCCTTGTCCCCACCCACAGAAACAGGCCCACCCCGGGGCCTCTGCAGACGTCACACCAGGCAAGACTGGCTGCAGAATTTTCAGGGCCCCTTGTTCAAATGTATTAGGAATTTCGCATCTGACAGTAGAGCATTGACACAAGCGTGGGACCTTTCTGATCGCTGGGATGCTTGTGCAGGTCACCACCCTTGAAGCCGGCCCTGGCACCAGCATGCCCCATCCATGGGTCACACCACAGTGCCAAGCCCGGCTCTGGGGTCTCAGATCCTCCCCATGTCCAGGCACCAGCGCAGTGACGGCCAGTTCAGTGGGGGAACAGCAGCTCTGAGTGGGGTCACTCCTGGCCCCGCCCTATGGCCTCCTCTCTGACCGTGGGACCCGGTCTGAGGTCTGCAGGGACTGGAAGTAGCGCCCAGCGGGCTGAGGGGGACGGGAGGCAGGCAAAGTGGTTGCTGTCTTTCAGGTGTTGATCCAGTACCTTCTTTGCCAGGCGGCCCCTGACTCCAGGCCCACACGACCCTGTTTCAAGCCCTGGACCCCCTGACCCCACTCTCCCCCCGGCGGCCCTGTAAGTCTGAGCCTTCCTTCCCCCAGGCCCCCTCCCTAGCCCCTCACACTGGGAATGGAATCCCGAGTCTTCAGAGAGCCTCCTGGGGACACACTTTCCTGTTCCACCTCATTTCCCCCTTTTCTTGTCACTCACTGTTCCTCCAGCTCCCCAGGCACACTGCCTCGGGGTCTTTGCCCCCTCGCGGGACCTTTGTCCTGCATTTCTCTGACCTTCAGCGAACTTTCCATGTCACCAAGCCCCATGCCCCTACTTGCCGGTTGAGGTCTCTCTCCCCTGCTAGGAGGGACCTAGAATGCTTTGCTCAAGCTGTAGGGCCTGGCAAGCAGAGGGCCCTCGGGAAACGTTTGTTGAATGAATGCACGATGGAACAAAGGAGGCCGGGAGAGCTGTCCACCAGACAAAGGACCCTCCGAGCATCCTCTGAAAACTTTGATTAAAGTGTGACCTACACTTGCTGGGTCAGGGAAGGTGACCACTGCCCGGCCGCGTGATCTCGGGTAAACTGGGTCCTTTCGTGGGGCCAGTTTCCCCTTCCGTGACAGCCAGGGCCTCTCTGAGGCTGTCCCTAGCCACGGCACACGCCCCAGGACGCGGGCCGCCGAGGCTCCCGGCCTACAAGTCCCAGCGGCGCCCGGGCGCCCCGCCCAGCCCGGCCCGGCGCCCCGCCCAGCGAGGCAGCGCGCGGAGGTGGGCCCCCGGCGCACTGCCGCCCCGGCGGCGGGCGGCTGCGGAGCACGTGCTGGCGCCGCGGGGGCCGAAGGGCGCGACCCCGGGCGTCGGGGGCGGCGGCCCAGCGCGGGGACGCGGGGCCCGAGACCCGGAAAGCGCAGCACGCGGGCGGGCGCGCCGCGGGCACCTCGCGCGCCTGCCGCCCGGAAGGGGCAGCGGGGCAAACGCATCTAGAAGAGCGGATGCCTGGGTCCCGGTTCGGGTCCGTTCACCAGTTCGCCCCTGACCCATTGGGCTTCCGCATCGCCAACCCGCGCCCCTGTCGGGTGGCCCCACGTCCCCACGTGTCACCAACTTCTGCCTGAGCATCAGCCATTTACCGCACACATACTTGTTAATGGCCCATCAGGTGGCAGACGGGGGTTTTAGGCCACACGGAGACGGCGGGTAGGAAACACGTACCCCCCGCCCTCCCCACGCGGACACACACACGCGCGCGCACACACATGGGCGCGCACACACGAGCTTACCTTTTAGGAGAAGAGAGACAATGACTGACTGAATGAATATTACATTTGTATTTGGGTAAATGTTCCAGGCAGGCGCTGAGGAGGGAGCAGAGCGGGTCAAGAGTGACAGGTGTACTGAGAGCCCCAGAAGGCCTCTGGGAATTGGCAGAGCAAGCAGCGGAGCCAGAGCCACGTGGGCACAGGGAACAGTGGAGGGAACAGAAAAGCGAAGGCTCCGAGGTGGGAGACAACCACCAACATTTATCAAAGATTTTTATATTTTTTAAACTTTTTAAAAAGATTTTATTTTTCCTTTTTCTCCCAAAGCCCCCCAGTTCATAGTTGTGTATTTTCAGTTGTGGGTCCTTCTAGTTGTGGCATGTGGGATGCCGCCTCAGCATAGCCCGATGAGTGGTGCCATGTCCACGCCCAGGATCCGAACTGGTGAAACCCTGGGCCACCGAAGCAGAGTGCACGAACTTAACCACTTGGCCACGGGGCAGGCCCCTATCAAAGATTTTTTGAGTGCCCGGCACTTTTATGTGGTCAAGCCTCACACACCACTAAAGTCATAAAGGTCAGTTGCCTTGGAATGCCTATCTGGGGTCAGGTCCTCGACTGGGTGACTCACATACATTAATCTGGTGATTTAACCTCAAAGCGGCCTTTGTCATGGGTGGTACTCTCAGCCCAGTTTTGAGAGGGAAGGCACTGAGGCTCAGGGTGGCTTCCCCAAGGGCATCAAGGGCAGTCATGGCTGGCCAATCAGTGATCCCATTTTATCTTCAAGGAGGCCTTGTCTGCCAGCCTTGAGAGCCAGGCAGGTGGGACCTCAGAGAGGTTAGGTGAAGTGAGGTCTCAGTGGAAGTCTGTTGAGCTTCTGTGAAAGCTTCCACTCTTCTGCTAAAAGAGATAGCAGTAGCTGGTATTAGCCCCTCAGTGTGGGGGAGATGTCTGGAGCTGTGGCAGCCATCTTGTGGCAAAGTCCAAGAGACTCTCAGACACCAGTGCGGATACCACTAAACCCAGGGGACATTTGGCAACACCTGGAGATGTTTTTGGTTGTCACAACTTGAGGGAAGGATTGCTACCGGCATCTAGGATGTGGAGGCCAGGGAAGCTGCTAAATATCCTACAGCGCACAGGACGGACCCCCACAAGAAAGAATTATCCGGCCCCAAGTGTCAATAGTGCTGAGATTGAGAAAGCTTGTGCTAAACCAATGCCAACAACCAGCCTCCTCATTATGCAAGAAAAATAAATCCCGAGGTGTTCAAGCTGCTCGTAGTTGGGTTTTCCGTGATGACAAGGAAAAGCATTCTCGAACAATGCAGGCGCAGATGCGGGTTGACGACTGCCACTGAAGTGGCCAGCACAGCCTGGCGAGGGGCCATCCCTCCCCACTTCCCTCAGTCCCTGTGGCCTTGGGCTGGTGTTCCTCCTGCTAAAGCCCCAGCCCTTTGTCACACAGGCATCCGGAGGCCGAGGGAGAGAGTGGAGACATGCAAACGGGAGGGCTGCTCGGGGCAAATGCCACCCACTGCCGGGCCCTGCGCACAGCCTCTCCCCCACAGGACACTGTCCCAGACCCGCAGTTCTGCGTGTGGCAAATAGAAAAGGCCCCGTCGCCGTGCCCACTACTCACACGTGCCTGACACAGCTTGCCCAGGAGACGGCTGAGCGCCGAGTCCCACCTCGCTGACTTTGTCCCTGTCCCCACGGGGAGAGCCTGGACTCAGGCCCCTGCTCTGGAAACGCTGACCCTCGACTGAGACGGTGCCCTGGTGTGGGCACCTGTTATGGGCTGAAGTGTGTCTCCCCAAAAATATGTGCCAGTCCCTAACCCCTGGTATCTGCAAAGTGACCTTATGTGGAAATGGAGTTTTTTTTTAACATAATCAATTTAAGAGGAAGCCCTACTGGGTCAGGATGGGGCTTCATCCATGCCCGTCGTCCCTATAAGAAGGCCACGTGAGGACACTCGGGGAGAACCGTGTGCTGCGGGAGGGCGAGGGCAGGCGATGCACCTACAAGCCAAGGATGCCCCGCTGCCGGCCAGCCCAGAGGCTTTGGGAAACGCCTGCAGGGAACTGCCACCCCTCCCAGGGCCTCCGGGGGAGCGTGCCCGCCCACACCTTGAGGTTGGACTTCCGGCCTCCAGAACTGGGAGAGAAGTCATTTCTATTGTTTCAGGCCACCTAGTTCCTGGTCGTTTGCTGCAGCGGCCCCAGGAAGCTAGCGCGGGCTCACCTCAGCCGCAGGGGAGAGCAGGACACAGCCCCAAGCAGACGGGGACATGCACTGGTTGCACTCCTGGGTCTTGGAAGGGCCCGCAGAGCCACAGGAGGGTGCTGGGACACGAGGCCCCGGGCCTGGGAAGCAGCCCTGTCCCTTTCTGGGCTTCAG